GTCTGGTTGCCCGGTGTCAAGAAACCGCGTCAGACGGGATGGCCAGAGCGGGCCGCGGCCCTGCTGCCAGTTACCGACGCTTGCTGGAGCATCTTTGCCTTGTGTAACACGGGGTGGGGATGCCTGGTCTTTCAGGAAACAGGATATTGCTGCTTCAGAAAGAAGCTTGACGTGGGTACAGTGAGCTTGGAAAAGCCAGCGTCAGGTCTGTGTCACAGGGGCTTTGCTCACTTGCAGTCGTGTTGGACACTCTGGCGTGGGTTCTGCCTCCTGACATGCCATGGGTTGAGCTCATGTCAGGGAGCTCCAACAACTCTTGGGTGCAAGACCAAGAAAGCCTGCAGTGGTCCAGCAGCCTCTTCACGTCATCACTGGGAAAAAAATGCTCTCTCAGCAATTGGATTTCATTCTGAGTTTATAGTTTCCAGTCTCCCTGTAGTTAATGTTTCTAGCCCTTTCTGGCCCTGGAAAGGTGTGTGTTTCACCAGTGTCTCAGGTCAACTTTTTTTTGTTATCTTCTGCCCAGATATATTTTGAAAGGTGTGATTACTGCTTTCTGTCCATGCAAAAAATTTGCCTCCTAATTAGTGTTAATCTGGTGGTACATGATAGTGGACTTGGAAGGAAAACTTTGCCACTCACGTCAGCTGTGCATATAGATATGTTATGTAGACATTATGGGCTTAGTTACTGAGTGTGCTTAGTTATAAGGAGATTGAAGTTCCCCAGTAATACACTTAAACCATCTGACATTACCATGTGAAATGTGAATGCAAGCTGATAAAAGCACCTGTTGTGTGTTTACCTGTAAAGTGACTTGGTAGTGTGTTTATACATTGTTGCAGTTGCAAGTTGCTTCTTTATTTTTAGTCATGCTTGTTGCATTATGTCAAACATAATACATCAATTATGAAACAGTGTAAACTGATGAATATTCTGTTTACAAAGTGTTAGAAGTGCATGTGTCAAAAGCCATCTAAGGAGCAATGGTTGGAAGTACTGTATTCTGTGCAAACCCAGGATGATGCTAGCTAGGTATTTACAGATAATTTAGAAAAATCCTTTAAGTCTGGATTAACGCTTCCAGGATGGTGTGGAGAAGATGCTCTTCCATCATCTGGATGAAGGCTATAGGAAGTAGTGCCTCTCAGGGATGAATAGCCGGTATCTGACAAGAAGAGGGCTCTGAACGGTGGGAATGAGCATTTGCAGAAGAGATCTGATTCAGACACAGGGTGGTAGCGTGTGGTGTTAATGGGAAAGTCTGTTAAGTGCTCATTCAGTTCTATGCCACAGAAGTGGCTCTAAGCTGCCTTTTGAAGCTGTGGTAGCTGCAGGTGTTTATCTTCTGGAACAGCCAACTTGTTCACAGAATGCACTATTTCTCTTCTTGTTGTAGCCTTGAATGTTAGAAGAGCTATTTGATAAACAAAAAATGTAGATAGTTAAAATAGTTAGGGATTTCACATGTTGTAAATTAATTTTGCATTTTGCATTATCTCTTTGTGAAATCCTTGGGTGCATTGTTGTCTCTTATAGAGGATGTCAAAGAAAAAGTAACTGAGCTTCTTTGTTTATGTGTTTCAGGCTTCTGAATTTGGCACAAAAAGGAGAACATCGACTGAAAGCAATGAACCCTGTGAAAAGAAGACCAAGGCATGGCAAATTACTCTAGAAGACATCTGTAACCCACTGAAGACTCAGGATAAAAGTGAGTTGTCTGTAAATAAACTTTCAAGCATTTATACCCAATAAATAGCTTTTTATTGTCAAATGTAAAAAAAATTGTCAGCAGATAGTTTAGGGAGATACATCATACATCTCTAAAGAGCCATTGTGAGCATACTAGCTATACTGTTTAAAGCATCTTTCTGTGGTTCAGAAGCTAGGTATCTGAGCCTTGCTCCAGAATTACTCTGCAAATCTGCTTCAGCTGACTCAGCTTTAACAGGTTGTTCAGTCAGTGAAGTCCAGATGCCCAGGCAGAAATGGTGCCACGTCCCTTTCTGTGTTGGTTTAACAGTCTGTCCTTTAGGCTCGGGCTGAACCGAGACTGACATCTGACAGGTCTATGGAGTCTGGCCCGTCACTGGGATACCTAAAGGCTACCTCAAAGTGAATAGTTCTAATACAGTGCTCTTAAATGTGAAGTGACAGCCACTTGGTTACATTGAAAATGTCTGTGCTCCATCTGGCTTTGAACCAAGAATTTAACAAATTAATGATGCTAGTAGAAAAACAAATCAGTGAAACAAATCAGTTCCTTACACTTACACTTCATTGAAAAGAATTAGCCTCTATAATTTTTTCAGAGGGAATTATGCTCAGTTTTGTGGGTGTGATGGTTTGAAGTATCTTAAGACACCATCAACTAGCAATGCTGTCTGCTTAAAAACTACTGAAAAAATAACACTTGTTTTCCGGTACTCTTGGCTAAATTTGTGGCTTTGCAGTTACCAGTCCAGAAGAATAATTGTGCTTCTTTTCCCATGTATGAAGAGGCATACAAGTGAGGAGTGTTGATTTTCCAGGGAAGTTAATCAGGCTTTACATTACATGCACGATTCTGTCAGCCTGGCAGAAATACTGCAATGGGGGAGAAGGAACGTAGGGAAGGGAGAGACAGACCAAATTTATTGCATTCTCTGCTTACTGATGTAATTATAATAAGACATTCTGTTTTAAAAAATAAATTGCTAATATGTTATTGTTGTGTGTTTTTACTGAAGAAGAACCTCAGAAGTGTGAAAAGCCCCGTATATGTTTGCAAACTCTAGACAGACTGAGAGAATTCTGCAATGATTCAGATCAGCAATGTAACAGAGTCCAGGAGGATACCTGTCAGGAGAAAGAATCTCTGAATTTGGAAAAATGTTCCAGTATTGTTGGGAGAAGTTCAGAATTGAAAAACCCTCTTCAGTCTGGGGACACTAGCCCAAAGGTTACTCAAAAGGTATGTAGAGCTTTGGTCCGGTGCTGTGTAGATTACTTTTTGTGGCTTAAAAAAAACAAGCTTTGGCACAAGATTCCTTTTGTGGTTTTTGTATTCTTTCATTAAATAGTGCAGCAGCATCCAACAGACCAGGGTTTGTGTACAACGTTTTCCTGGAACTCTCAGCACAGTGAGCAGAATGCCTCTTATTTGTTCTTCAGTGATACTAAAAAAGTGGTAATGAGAGAGCAGAAACACTGTCATTGTATCTTGTGATTGTGAATAAAGCTCTAATATCGTAATAACAAGTGTTCAGTGTGGCCCTTTGCTCAGCTTGCTTTCAGTTCTATCAGTTTTGATACAGGCTGTAAAATTCCCAACAGGTTCTCTTTGCAAAAATATGATTTAGAATTATTACTGAGATGTAGCTTAATCAGGTTGCTAATTAACGTAACATCTTAAACGATCACTGACAGCTTTTTTCATCTGCAGAAGATACGGGTAGCTCCCGTGAAGAATCATCATTATGATACCTGTGATACAAGTTGATAAGAGTATAATGTAACTACCTTGCATCTTCTTTTATTATGCTGCTAATTAACATGAGTTAACTGATGGGTTTTGAGGCACACCTTGCTCAGTTTGAAGAATTCGAGTCCTAAAAGACATCTCATGGTTTACTGTGGTGGTGGTGTTGCATTGGGACTCAGCTACTCTTTTACGAAGCTTTGTATCTGGCTTTTTGAAGGAAGGATGTATGAAAAGTTGTCTGGTTGAGTTGACCTTCCCTGTCTGAAGGTCATGACCTTAAACTGGGGTGTCTGGGTTGTGTGAACATGAGATAAAAATAAGACTAGTGAAGTGAACAGCTGGTGGCAAGAGATTTCTGTTGTGATAAGAGACTGAGATTATGTAGGTGTGGTCAGTTGGAGAACACAGAAAACTGATTCTTTCCCTCTTTTTGAAACCCTTGTCTGTCTGGACCTTCTTAATTTCTGACCCTCTGTCCATCCAGTTCCATTGACACCAGATGCTGTCCCTGCTAGTTTAATCAATAAATCATACTTCAGCATGTCTCACAGATGTTTGAGAATGAATTCTAGATGCTGAAATTATAAAATGTATGTGTTTTACACATGCACATATGTTAAACATGCATTGGGAGTATTTCTTCTTTATCGTAGTGACTTTTTCTTCCGTAACACTGGAGACAGCACATGCCTGTCGTAGGTTGTTGATTTAAGATATGTGTGTTAGTAACTGCAGTAGAAGTGCGTACACTGTAAGCAAAGGCCCATACAACTCTCCCTGCACCAAGCTGTTGGCCCAAGATGGTTGCTCCTGCAGAACTCAAGTTTCTCCTAATCTTTAAACAGATGTCTTTGTTAATCTTCCGTGTATCAGCTGGTGCAGTATTTCTGTGTTCCTGTTCCAAACCTGGTTTCCAATGCCCTAACAGTGGCGTGCTTTTTATAGCAGTACTGCCACTGCAGAGTCGTATACTTACATGCTTGTTGCCATACAACACTTGGGTCCAGTCAATCACAGATTGTCAGTGAGATTATGACAGCTGACCTTCCATGTGATCTAGAGTGGATCTAGATCACATGGAAGGTCAGCTTTAACCATGTGCAGAGAGAGTCTGCAAGCAAGTTGTATGCAAAGTAAAAGTAAAGAGCAATTATTTCTTATTTAATATACTCAGTAAATACTGAGGACGCATGATGTACTTGACAAGGCATTACTATCATCTTTCTGTTTAAGACACCTACTGAGTCTGTGCTGGCCAGGATGTCAGGTTGGAAAGTGCTGGCCTGCCTTTCTTGGAATGGCTCATCTTAGAAGTTTGTGTCTTGCTTTTTTCATAGAGTTATAACCTTTTTATGAGAGTAATTTTCCTCTAAATTCCTTGGGCTGATAACTTCCTACCATCTCAACAATTCAACTTCCATATGTGTTTTTACTTATTTTAGTGTCTTTCGTGACCTTATTTCATGTGCTTTGTCATAACAATTTTCTCTATAGAATGAGGTGAGGTCATACTGCTGGGCTGGTGCAGACCTTGGATTGAAGACTGCTGAATCCTTGGACTGAGGATTTTGCAGTGGAGAAATCTAAGCTCCTGCAGCCATCTGAGTTCTAGGCATGGTACAGCTGTGTTTGTGGGGGGCTATGCTGCCTGCTTGTCAAATGGGTCATCCCTTGATTGTGTGCAGTCCTGGGAATTTTGCAATTCACAGCTAACAGTACAGCTGAGTGTTTTCTTTTTCTCCCATTGTTTTCTGACTGCATTCTTTGTACATTCCCATGACCCTGAGTGTATGATTTGTACTGTTTTTGTGTTCTGAGTTACCATTGCTTCTAACCAGTCTGTTGACTTTGTTCCTTGTAGCCTAGATGGGACAGTTGTTAGAAATGGAAGTTTACCCAATTGATTTGGAGATACAGAAACTTACAGCACAACCAGATCAATTCTGTTTTGTATAGTCCTAGGCTTTAAAAACTTGTGGAGGGTGTTGTCTTTGTGTTTTGTTTGATTTTTTTTTTACTTGATTTTATCAGTGCTTGATACTGTGATATAAGTGAGGAGGAACTTTGCTGTAAGTGAAGCTCACCTTACCAGTGTTTTTCACTGCACCTCTAAAAGCCTGAATCCGTCACCTGCTTACAATACAGAACAAAACAGTTGTAGAGCTGAAGTTGCTTGACTGGCATGGGCTGCATAATATCATTGTAACTGATAAACTGCAGAGAGTGTGGGCTCAAAGCCTTAACTGTTAAGGGTTTTAGAAACTGTAATACGGATTTTCTGTGTTTAAGAATAAATTATTTCAGAAGGTTTGCTGAGCTTATGTAGAAAGGGCAGACTGGAGAAGAAATATGGTTTTGGTGCTTGAGATAGTGAACCGAGACTTGCATTGGATTGGTTTATTTCTTGATTTACTGTGGATCATTAATTAATCTCTCTGTGCTGCAGTTTCTCATCTGTAAATTGGAGTGGTAATTCATCCTTATTTATGTATCTAGCCAGTTTAGATTGCCCAGTCTTTGCAGCCTGCATGTCTCTTGATCTGTGTTTTGAGATCTTATGATACGTTAGGGATCTGATTTCAGCTGAGATGTCTAAGGATTGCTGTAAAGCAAGTTGACTAATTGTTGCAAAATCTTTGACTTTCATGACTTTTTAATCCCTTTTAATACCAAGTAAACTGTGCTCAGTATATCCTACTGTAATAGTTTTGCTGCAGTTCTTGGGGCTATTTACTGCAAGAACAGTCTTTAGCTCCATGATCAATGTGAGTCAAGGTCTGCAGGAGCAATTGATTTCTTTGATGATTCCTAACTATATTTTTCCATCTTTTATTTACAGGAGGAGTTACGCTGTGACCTTAGTCAGTTTTCTGCATCCCTTAAGTCTTATGAAAATACTCAAAATACTTCAGATACAAATCTTAATAGGAGAACCAAAAGCATTTACACTCCACTAGAACTTCAATTCATAGAAATGAAGAAACAGTATAAAGATGCTGTTTTGTGTGTGGAATGTGGATACAAATATCGCTTCTTTGGAGAAGATGCAGAGGTAATTTTTGCCAAGGTCAAGAAGAGATACTTGCATTACATTAGTGTTGTGCAAGGTCTATGGCCAGTTCCAGAAGGAAGGTGTTCAGGGGACATAAATTTTGTGGGTTTTTTCAGTACTTGGAATCAAGATGAAAAATCTCTTTATGCTTAAATTGAAGACTCTCCATTACGCATACACTTTTTACCAAAATAGCATTTATTAATTTGTAATCATATGGTAGTGCTTGCTAACCTGTATATTGAAAACTTAAGATGAGGTCCTAGAATAATTACTTGTCAGAGTTAAAAGCTGAAACACTTTCAGAGGTGAGTTCTGTATCATGGCCCAAAACTACTAGGAATATTTCCATTTGGAAGACAGTGGAGCAAGTGGTGTAAAAGCAGATAATACAGCCAGTATAGCCTGGGTGCAGAGAGCATCTTGGATGCATGTTCAGTTGCAGCACCTGCACGTGACAGATCTGTAGGAACTGGAAAGTACTTTGCAAAATACATAATTTTAAAGTGATGGTTCGTAAGTGGTTCATAATGAGTTTTTTCGTGAGCTGTCCCAGAATCATTGCTTCCAATTTAACCTTTCCACACTTGAGATCAGTGAAAAACTTTGCTTAGTTACTGGGAATTAATTTTCCTCATCAACTTTGTATAGTGTAATTTGTCTACTCATTTGCTGGTACACTCACAGTCCAGATATAGAAACATACTATCCAGGTACACAGTTCAGTGTTTTACATGCAGTTCCTGCTTAAGTCCACTTTAGCTAGTCTGTGAACAACTGCCTTTTTGCCAAGGGGCAAAAAAGCACATATAAATCTTACATTATAATGTCACATTTTAACAGGTGTTATTACTCTTTGAAGTATTTAGTTTCCACTGCTGTTTGATATTGATTTTTCAGTATTTTAATTGATTACCTAGCTTAATACCATTTTTATAACCACATTTTAAACAACTCCATTCTTTCTGCATTTTTAGTGTTGTGAAAATTATTTGACCCCTTCTTGAGCTGTGTTGCAGAATCTGCGTGCACTGTGTAGGTGGTTTACCTCACAGTAATAAATCAAGGTGCAATGTAATAATCTGACGTGAAGTCTGTGATACTGAAGCCCCTGTTTGTGACCGCATGCTGGGACAGGAAGGTGGAGAGACACAACTCTCTGGGCTTTTTCCTGTGGTGTTTTCATTTGACAGTGGGCTTTTAATTGTAGTTGTGCATCAGTGTTGTCATAGAGATGAGCTCCTGTATTGCATTTTGAACTATTGTCCGACTCTTCTTCTTGTACTTTGCAGATTGCAGCTAAAGAACTGAACATTTGTTGTCATCAGGATCATAACTTTATGACAGCCAGTATACCGAGTCACAGACTGTTTGTCCATGTGCGGCGACTCGTAGCAAAAGGATATAAGGTTATCTCTGGCTTTTATTGAATACTGTTAAGTACAGAATAGCACTGAAATAACTTGCACTTTTTGTGACAGAGTCTTATTTCTGCTGAGAAGTGGGAAACTCCTTATCACCTGTTTTTGCAATTAAAATGGCTATCTTTCCGTTGTTTCAATTTCTCTATTCTGGTGAGAGTCATGAAATTTAAGATTCAAGCTTCATCTGTTTTACAGAAAAGCATCTTCATGTCTTCTAGAACAGTTCTAGAAAAAAATTTTCTCTCAGTTTTTATCAAGCCTTTGGATTTGATAAAGAGAAATTTGTACATCCACTCTCTCTTTTATTCTTCCTCACATCCTTATTTTTCATATCCCAGACCACATTTTCTTTTCCTTCCTGTTGTTGGTCCCTGTAATTCTGTGGTTTTCTGTTGGTACCTCTTTTTTTTCTGCTTATGAGAAAAGGGCTTGCTGAATTTAAGTGGATTGGAGCAAGCATTCTCTGGCAAGTGGTGAACTCCAGCTAAATTGTTTCAAAAAGGACAAGAAGCACAGTGGTGGAAGTTGAGAGGGCAGTTAGAAGTGGATAGATTGTAAGGAAAAGTAGTGCCTTTTAGTCTTATTAGTAGGATAGATGCTAACTTCTGCCTATTCTGCTCAGCTTTAATGATGCACTTGCTGTTTGCACATCTTAAAAAATAACCAAATTTATAAAATAAAATAAAAAATCATTTATTATCTATAATCATTTATTATCTAAGAGCTAACTTTGTTTCTTGTCTGTGTGCCTGTAGGTTGGAGTAATAAAACAAATGGAAACTGCAGCACTGAAGGCTGCTGGAGAAAATAAAAGCTCTCTCTTCAGCCGGAAACTGACTGCTCTCTACACTAAGTCTACACTTATTGGAGAAGATATCCTTTTCAAATAAATTTGGTTTCAGACTCTAATCTTTGATGTGTGTGAGGCTATTATTATCACCTAGATGGAACACGGGTAGCTAGTGACTCACATTAAGAGTGGCAGTAGGAAATAAAGTTCCTTTAATTTTATGTTGTAGTAAAACATCATGCTGGCTTTATAAAGAATTTAATCTCCTCAGGGCTTTAGGTTTGTTGTGAAACAGCAGAGCTTGTGTTTACTGTAGCTGCTTTCTGAAGTCAGAGTGGACTTCCCAAGTCTACACTGTTCTGTAGTTCTTGTCTTCAACTAGGTGTTTCACCAGATTGAGAATGCATAGCATTAGTGAATCAGGAGAGTGTGAAGGAAGAAAAATTGACTTTTGGTGTCAACAATTTGCTTTAAGTGACAAGTAACAAGAACTCAAAGGATTGTTAGATTAATGGCTGTGAGGTTGCACTTAGGGAGTAGATCAGGGAAGCAGATAACACAGTACTGAGATTTTGTTGGAAAACTTCTAGTGTACTTACCGGCTCTCTTGTAATGATTAGCAAACTTGATGAAAGCTGTCTCAGCAGTATGACCCAGCCTGGTGGATAGATATGCATCAAGTTTCAATGCGACTAACCTAAAGTTCCTGCAAAGAGGTAGACTTTTGTTTAACTCAGGGTATTGTCTGCTTTTCAGTTGCTGCAAACCTAGTGCATTTAGTTTTTTCTGTTAGGTGCCTGTAGTTCGTGGATATGAAGTCAAAATGACAAGGTGGAGCAGCCCTTGTGCAGAATCAGCTGCTGGTTTAATGTTTGATGTAGCTGCTCTTACTTGAACAGGGAGACCCACAGACATAGTCAAAGATGGCCTTTGCATAAGCTGGTGAAATCTGTGCATTGTGTAGCTGCCTGTCCTGTGAAGACAACTGACTTCAGTCCTCGTGCTGACAGTCATCTAGAGTTCACCAAAGTCATAGTAGGAGTCAAACTAATAAGAGTCAATTAGACCTTTAGTCTAGAAGGCCCAACACAAAACCTGTTTGAGAAGGACTTAGATCTAGAAGGACTTATGAATAATTCACCAAAATCCATGTACTATTTTATTTTTTTAACATTTGTTACATGTGAACCCTTTGCTGAAGCTAGATGATTCTGTAGAAGTTGAAGAGGTAACAACAGACGTCCCTGATAACTACCTCCTCTGTATCTGTGAAAATGGAGAAAACTTAAAAGACAGAAGGAAAGGTGACATTGTTATAGGCATTATGGTGAGTTAGTTTCACAGGGGAACAGTATTTTAGGGTCTGTGTTGGGATTTTTGTGGGAGTTGTTTTGTGGGGGTTTTTTTGAGAGGTGGGTGGTTATTGTCTTAAATTCATGATTGTTCTGTCTTAGATTTTTTTGGGTTTGGGGTTTTTTTGTAGCAAGGTGCAGTTTAGGTAAGATACCATCTTTGTGTGAATTGTGATGGCTTTATACTTGAAAACTACGGAAAAGGTCTGGAGTTGATAGTTGAATATTCCTGATACTGTTTTTGCTGCTGTATCACTTAAAAACATAGAATCATAGACTCATTAAGGTTGGAAAAGACCTCAAGGATCATCAAGTCCAACCGTCAACCCACACCACCTGACTCACTAAACCATGTCCCTAAGCACCACATCTACACATTTCTTGAACACCTCCGGGGATGGTGACTCCACCACTTCCCTTTTAGCCAAATACAGGGAAATAATTAGTTCAGATGGTTTACTAACTTTAAAGTTTAAACATTTTTATGGTTTAAAGTTTGTGAGCACTTTTATCCTCTACAAAATACTGTTCTTTAAATGAGGAGAGTTATGCTTTTTTACTGTTTACACTTCAAATTTACATTCTCTTTTATGGTGAAGATTAAAACCAGGATTGTTTAATTGGCAAAACACAGTGATAACTGAAGCCCACTCTGCTGGCAATTAATTTAAAAGCGTCTTGATTATGCTGTATTTGAGTGTCACACTGCAGCTGGGAGAGAACAACAAAAGCGTGTGCTAAGATGACAGTTTCCAGGCTGAATTGCATGTACCTTCCATAGTTTTCCAATAACATGGATTTGCCTGGTAATAAAAATTGAACAGTGATGGACTGATGATAACAAGAGCATTTTAAAGGCATTGTTATAATTTACCAGGACAAAATTGTTGTAGTCTTTTGAAGCTATTACCGTATCATGGATTTGAAAACACAGTTATATTTTTTTGATCTGTCACTTTAAGCATGTGAGTGCTATATAATTTTGTGCTGTACAACATAAATTTTCTTTCTGGCTTAACAATTTGAGTCACTAAACATTTCCTGAAAATTTAAATATACAGTGCATTTTTTTTTTTTATTTGACAGGCAATCCAGCCAACTACGGGAGAAGTAATTTTTGACAGTTTTCGGGACTGCGCATCTCGCTTAGAATTAGAGAGTCGGGTTTTGCGCCTGCAGCCAGTTGAAATTATACTTCCATCTAGCTTGTCAGATCAATCTGAAAAGCTCATCAGCAGTATAACCTCCATGAGGTATGTTCCATGGGGATTTTGTTTGTTTTCTTTTTTTCCTTTTTTTTAATTACAGTGTACCTATTGATGGAGTTTAGATCCAGAAGCAAGTGTGGGTGTGTAGTCCTGTAAAGGCCCATTTTGGAATGGCTATAGTTTGGTGTTGGGTTGAAAATTCCCCGAATCCCACTGAGTTCTGGGCACTCATTCTTAAATTGTATTTAAATTCAAATTCATGGCTTCTGCCTCCGGCCTATGAAAGATGTTTGCGCCTAAACATTTGTTTTTTTAACTTAGATAGTCTTGTTCCCATGCTCCCAGTCATGTGATCTGTTGGATTTCTTTCAGAGCTCATGCACTCATCTTTGGGATCTGAAAGTGGTGTTATGTGGCTCTTGTTTGCCGTAGTCTTAAGATCTCTAAAAGGCATGAAGCTTTTTTTTTTTTTTTTTTTAGTTAATATAGATTGGTATAGAAAATCTGTGCAACTGTTTTGTCCTGAACTTAGATACAGACTTGGAGGTATTGTGGCAGATCATCTGTTTACATTTTGAGTTCTCTCTGGGTGTTCAAGGGTAAATTTGTTACATGTTTTCTACATCAATTTCCCTGTGGAATAAAGCCAGAATAGGATGTAAATTGTAGGATGATAGATGAAGGATATGGCAGTCCTCTGAACATATGTGGTGAACTTGTGAAATCTTGCAGATGCAATTTTCACCTTTTTTAAAAAAAAAAAACAAAAACATACAGCTCTGGGCTGTAGAGAACTAGCTTAGAGCTTGGCATTTCCAATTTGAATAAGCATAATATTTTTATTTTAAGTGTAAAAAAACTGGAGATAAATAAAAGTCAAAGAAAAATGAATGTATTATGTAGGCAAAGCTTTGTAATAGGGGGAAGATACAAATATTGTCTTCTCCCATATTGTAAATATAGACAAATGCATCGCAGTCATGTGGATGGTAGCCGCCTGACAGACAGCAAGTCCTACCTTGACTACCTCACTTATACTCTGCCCAAGTCATCATCTTGTAGCTTCCTGTAGTGCTCCAGACAGCTGAGCCACTTAATCAGTTTGCTCCACAGGCATTCCTTTACCTACCTGCCAGTGTAATCCTTCTTCATCCCCCTTTAGAAAACAAAAAAAAATGTTTACATGAAGTCGTGGGTAGTCAGTCATCTCATCAGGAAAAGCTGATTTTGTGGCTCATTATAGGAGCTTGCAGAGGTGTGGCTGTACTCAGCTATCCAGCTTTTAAGGGCACATATATGTGAGAGGCAAGACTGAGAGGAGGGACTGAAAATGTCTGATTTGGTGTTAGGGATCTTAAGAAAATGTGTCTTTTGAAAGTGGTGTATTCATCGTCATTCAGTGGTGTTGTGACGCTTACACGTGTAGTGAAGTGTGCTCTTGTCATACTAGGCTCTTCTGTTCCCTCAGCTTATGTATGGACTACAAAGCCATGAGGAGTTGAAAAGGTCAGCTCTAATTAAATGTACTAAGCAAACAATATCAGTATATTTTCGTGCAGTAAAATGGCTTGTTAAGACCAGGCAGACAAAATACCAGGTTAGGAAGTAACAAACCTTTTTCAGTTGCCAACAGATGCACATTTTTGCCTTGCTAATCCTTTTACTTCGATAACTTTCTCTTTTACAAATCATTTCTGTATAAGTATGGGCAAAATATTTCTAAATACACCATGATGAAGACTAACAATTTATATTTTTGCTTGTTTGTTCTGTGGTTTTTTTTGTTGCTAGTGTTGTGCCCTGACAGTTTTGTGGAAGCCAGAGGAAGGTAAAGTGATGTAATAAACTGGCAAAGCAAGTGCATTTTTCAGAAACAAGTATTTTAGTTGCTAGTTAAGGTAATTCTGATGCAGGTTTGAGAGAATGATTTTTTTTTTTTTCCTTTTTGGTTGTACACAGCTGTGAATATTAGTAAGTAACTTCACATTTCTATTAAGAATAAAAAATACCAACTATTAGCTGATTTTGTGAACAGATATTAGTTCGTAGGTTTTTTTCCCTTTCTGGCAATTTACTAGACAGCTCTCCAGCCTAAATATTCTTAATTACATTGGAACTGTAAAAATGAAACACGTTATTTCCGTATGCTTCAGTAGCCTTCTTTCAAAATCAATTCTTCATGGATTTTCTGTGTCAAAGATTTAACCACTAGAGGGCCCTGAAGTCTTTAATATTGGTTGAAGTTGTTCCAATAGGCTGCTTTCATGTGCTTTTAACTAGGCTCCAGTTTTTATATAACTGATTTTATTCTATTTATATATAGAATCATAGAATGGTTTGGGTTGGAAGGGACCTTCAAGATCATTGAGTTCCAACCCCCCCTGCCTTGGGCAGGGACACCTTCCACTAGCCCAGGTTGCTCAACGCCTCATCCAGCCTGGACTTGAACACCTCCAGGGACGGGGCATCCACAACTTCCCTAGGCAGCCTGTTACCGTGCCTCACCACCCT